TTTTAACATCTCGAAATTAAAAAATTATATAAATTTGAAAAAATTTGTTTAGATTAATAAATCATTCATTTTTAACCACAAATGTAGGTAAAATGTAATAAAGAATAAAAAAATAATAATAAATAAAGTAGGTAATTTGTAAGGAAATAAAGTTTGTTATAATCAAAACATTTGGCATGATTGAAGCTCGTAAAGTTAATAATCTCTCAATTTTTTATGATGACAAATTATTTAAAAAAAAATATTTTCAAAGTGGTGTTAGTATAATAAAATTGAAAGAATTCACTAATCACAAATGAACACTTCGACAAATATCAATCACTAATCACTAATGAACACTTCGACAAACATCAATCATCAATGAGAAGCACTTTACATTTCTTAACAAATTCTCCCTCTTTTATTATCATCAAAAGATAATAATTTAAAGCACATGATTCCCCTCAAAATAGTAATCAAGTATTATAGATGACTACTAGTCAATTTAAGCCTCTCTGATAAATGAAGTCAATCAATTTGGAGCAAACATAAGATCAAGAGATATAAATACTTTCAAGAACCCAAAACATAAAATCAATAAACTTATTAAATACATTAAAACTTAAAATTTTTACTTAAAAACAAAATAAATTATTTCAAATGATCATCACATGAAAATGCAACATAATATAAATAAAAAGGATAAGAACTCCCCGTAGACATATATAAGCATGTGAGTTCCAAAAAATGTGAGTCATGTAAGCTCTCCCTGGTGAAATGCATGAGACATATATTAAAATCATATAAAAGAGATGAAAACAAATTAAATCATTTAGAACCAATTACTATTTAAAAAAAATCATTAGCGAATAAGTTAGGATTAATAATAAATATCACAAGTCATGAGTTCAACAATTAAGACAATAAAACTTGACAACTTTCCAGAGGAATTGTTATTAATATATAAGTCGTAATCAATGACGACTCTTCATAAAAGAGTTATTTTAGAGGAAATTGTCTTGGGTAAAGATGTTTTAGAATGATTTAGCTTTGTTTAGAAGTGTTATAGGCCTATAAATTGAATATTTGAAGATTGATCATATTTTGTGCTGATCTGGAAATTCAGAAGAAAATCACTCATTCAGTGTGAGGAAAAAGTGCAGTAAAAGTTATTTCACCGAATTGTCACTGAACCCAAGATACCTGTTTGAGATTTTGAATTTGAAATAAATATATAGAACAAAAGTGTACACCAATCATAAGTAATAAGTGGAATGAGCGTTTCGAATATCGATCCATAGGGAGTAATGAAATCTTTTTTGAAAAATAATGATGATCGGCGAGCTGGAAATTGGTTTTAAGGTGACAAATAATATGAACGATATTGTTTTTGATGTTTTAAAACTTAATGAATAAAGCCCAGTTCACTTACTTCAAATTAGCTAAGAAAACACGAAATGCAATTAGCTAGGCACCTCCCTTGCTTAAAAATCAAGTTATGTTTCGCAATCTTCTTATGTCTAAGGATTTTGAAGGCCTAGATTAATCCCTAATATGTCTGTTAGAGAATGAGTTTAGTTTAATAAAACAAACCGTGACCTTGGGTCGAGGTCTATGTTTAGGCTACTCGAAACCTTTATGTCTAAAGTCTTTCTCTCCAAAGTCAAATCAAAAAATCGTAAAAATAACTCAATCCTTTCGATATTGAGGTTTTGTTAAATCATTAATTGGCCAAATTAAATCCTTAACTTTTGAAAACAACTCACAGGTTAAAAAGTGAAGTTCAAATATTTAAGCAAATATAAGATGCCAATTAAAAAAATATAGGATTCATAAAACATTTAAACACTTTAAGAATAAAAATTTCACAACATATACAAATTTATAAGAATCAAATTAAAAGAAAAAAAGACATAATATTAAATTGCATATAAAGATATATTAATCACAAGAATCAAACTCAAGAAAATTAGACATGATATCAAAATTTTTTCAAGCAAAGAGATATATTACGCCAAAAATATTGGCCTAAAATACCAATATGAAAGATTAAAAAATATATACCTATAATAATTACCATAAAAACACACATTTTAATTAAAGACCAAACAAAAAAAAATACACAATGAATAGGGATTCAAAAGAAATAAAAAATAAAATTTAAAGCACTCTTCCCATCAAAGAAATTAATTAACAATATGAAATCTCATAATAATTTAACAGGAATCATTAAAATATAAAAGCAATAATAATGAAAGTATAAACTTTCCATCTTTAAAAATATTTATGAAAACTTAAAATAATTTCTTCCGAGGAGTTCATATTCAAAGAAATAATTTTCAAAATAAAAGGACTTAATAACAATGGTAGGAGTAAAACTCAAATAATTTGATATCAGGGAAGTAATTTCAAAATAATTTTTTCAAAGTAAATTTCTTTACAATCCAACAACATCAAACAATAATTCAAATAAATTTCAACAATCAAGTAATAAATAAACTATTGTTCAAAAAAAAAAAGTAATAAATTAATTATAACAATTTCTAATAACAGATTTTATCAAGAACACACGATTTCTCTAACATACAGAAACTGAAGATTTTATAAACAACATAGTTAAAAAATTTGAACGGTTGGCTTTTTAACCCTTAATCTCAAATTAATTAAATTTTAATTAATTAATTAATTAATATTTTGATGATAACAAACTTAATTATGTTATTTAACAATTTTAATTTTTTGAAGTATTCAGAGCGTAGAACTCGAAACAACGACTCCAACGATATTTGAATCATCCAAATCAGAGCTCAAACAAAGAAATTATGGTGGAAAGAGGTTGGAAGGAAAAATAACCGAATGGATGACGTGGCAGGTTAATTATCCATGTGGAGCAATGGAAAGTTGATACGTCGTCATTTATGTTAATGAAAAAAAAAAGAAATGAAAAGAGAAAAAGAAATTGAAAAGAAAAAGAAAAAGAAAAGATTAAATATATATATATTACCGTTGAAATTGGGTAACCTGAAGGAAAGGGAAAAAAAATTGAAGTTGCCGTTGAAGGACCGTTGGAGACATTAAAAAAAATCATATTTTATTTATATATATAATATATTATTATTATTATTACATTCAATTAAATCTCAACATTTCCTCTTTAATAATTTCAAATCTAATGGTCGAAATTTAAATTTGATTTTAAATTTTCTTTCAATTTTTTCTCCTCTATTTAAACCTCACTTCCCTCATATTTTAATAACATTTTTTTTTCTCTCCCAATTTTTCTCTCCAATCCATTCATTGTTCATCCCTCCAAAAACTTCAATGTTTTTTTAAATTTGTTGTACGAGATTTTATTTGAAAGATCTTGAGCTTATAATTTTTATTTTTTTAACCAATTTGAGGGCTTTATTTTGTAAGAATTTTTCTTACAAAATTTGTGAGTTAAATTTGTATATCTACTATTTGAGAGAGATTTGTGAGATTATTCTTTCAATTCCAAATCCTTTGTAAGGGTTGCTCTTGAGCCTGAAAAAGAGCAGTTGTAACGGTTTGATCCTGAACCGTGGAAAGGATCGGGTTTCTTCTTGCTCCCTGAAAAAGAAGACTTTGTACCGGTTTGACTCCTACCATGGAAAGAGTGAAGTTTCCTAATGGAACACCCAAGAGGAGCTTGAGAAGTGGAGTAGGCCAGTGTTGCCGAACCAGTATAAAATTTCTCGTGTCATTTTCTCTAACCCTAATCTATTTAATTTTTGTAATTATTTTTCTTTATTACAAATTGCATGAAATTAATTGTTCGAATTTGTTATTCATGTTTATGGTCAAATATTTATATTTGAATTATTTGATTGGTGAAATTAATTAGGGTGTTTGTATTTCTAATTTGTTGTTTAATTTTGCGTTAAAATCATTTGTTCATAAAAAATTTACATAATTGTTTAAATTGGGCCACCGTGTTAAAAAAAGTTTATAAAGTTTAATTAAACCCTATTCACCCCTCTAGGGTTGTCATGCGGATCCAACAAGAACATGATATCCATACCAACTAAATCATAAATAAGTAATAAACACACCTTCACTTATTAGGAACTCAAAATAAAAATTAACACTTTAATTATCCCACAAATCAATAAATAACGATAAAATAAAGTTCATCCAATAAACAATTCAATAAAATTCACACCTAATATGTATGTCTAAAACATATAATCAACTATCAGTAAAAATATTAATGTGGAATCGTAATTAATAAATTTTCAATCCACAAAATATCATAATATAAAGATTGAAACTTTCCGTTCAAACAATCCAAGAATTGAGATGTACTATCAAAAAGTTATCTCAAAATTTGTTCAATATTTAATTTAAAATAAACAAAATTACCAAAAAATGATTATTTTTTTAAGCCTAGGAGAACCAAGAATTGGTTTTTTTTTTCTTAGAAATTATATTTTGTGGTTCAAACAATTTTAAAATTCAAGTACATCTACAAAACAATTTAGCAAATAGTTTTTGGTACCATATTTGTTTGTATCCATATAGGTTAGTCTCAATCTTTGGAACTCATTTATTTTTAGTTCCAACATTCATAACATTCATATAATTCGATTTAGACAAGTAATATGAATATACTTTATGATCGAAGTTTCCACACGAGACGCAAAAAATATTATGGATGAGTTTTTCTTTCACAAAATGTCATGCATATTATTTTTCACATAAATGTTTATTTTTCTTTCACAAAATATCTATGCATATTATTTTTCACATAAATGTTTCTTTTTAGAATATTTTAAAATTTCGCTTTATAAAAATCATTTCTCTTAGGAAATCTATTTTGATCATTTCTCAATCTAAAGCAATTTGGTCTAATATGACTTTTAACACCACAATAATGACATATTGACACGAGTATTGTATTATGCATACATTTAAACTTAGAACGAAAATGATTAGGCACAAATTTAGATACATAATGTTGATGCACATCACATTTCAGAGCAACATTAGACAAAACATCATTATGCACAATAGAAAATGCTTTAACAAAAATTGTATTGGAACTAGATGGAATAACACTCTCATCGACATAACCAAGTCCTCTTCTGCCATTTAACCGTTTGCACATGTCAATACTTTTTTTTAAATAAAGACTTCAATTAAGAAAACTTGTTGCCATAAAGGCTACAAAAGACAAATTATCAGACTCCACATACGGAGGAGCCAAGTTGGAAAACCCGAAAGCCACAGAATAGGACGATAAGAACGCAGCGCAACTTTGGCTAGGGCATCAGCGATCTCATTTGCTTCGCAGTCATGCTAAAAGGATATATCTTGCAAAGATCCTGCCAAAGTTCTAATATTAGCAATCCAAGAGGTCGTTTCGTTGTGGATTTCCCCCCACCGGCGATCAAAGAGAAACCTTCCAAAGAGTTGGATTCGACTACGATTTTGGAGATGCCCAAACAAGCCGCCAAACAAAGACCCTCATGAATAGCCAACATTTCCGCTAGGAACCGAATAAGAGAAACATGGGAGGTAGTCATTGCCGCTTGAATCCTGCAAGATTTATCTCTGATCAAAACCTTAACTCCGGATCTACCTTCAGGCAGACCACATGTAGCATCTGAATTGATTTTGACAAAGCCCTTTGGTGGCGGGCTCTAGACACACTAGGGGTGTAAATAGTCGGTCTCCATCGGTTTCCGGACAAAATCGAACCGATACGAAAGTTGTGAGTTGAAATTCGGATTGGGTCGCTTCAGGTCAGGTCGGTTTCGATTTCTCTCTCTCTCTCTCTCTCACCAGTCTAGGGTTCTCAACGAACACCTAGATCCAAATCCTTCATGACAGAAAAGGCATTTAATTAACAAATTTTTTTCAATTAATTGAAGATATAACAACCACACCTTATTTTGTAACATTTTCCAGATCCAAATCCTTCAGTCTGAAGGTTAAATGGGTGTTCAAAATTGGAATCGCCATCGTAGGTTTCTTGAGAGAGAATGGGTTTGTCGAGAGAGACCCAATGGGTTTGTTTGGAGATTTCGTTGGAAGGTTGGCCGCCGTGGGTTTGTTTGCCTTTCATCAGAAGGTCGGCCATGGGTTCGTTGAGAGAGAATCAGAAGGTTTCTTGAGAGAGATTGAGTTTGTCGAGAGATGAGTTTGTTGAGAAAGATGAAATCGTGAGAAATTTGTGGGTTTGTCCAGAGAGAGAGGAAATTGTGAGAAATCTATAGGGTGAGAGAGGAAAGTTGTGGGTGTTGAGAGAGAAGGGCGAAATCATGGGTTTATTGAGAGATAAGATGGCGGGGAAGATGACAGAACATTATATAAGAGGTAGGGCATCTTTTTTTTCGGTTTCTAGAAACCGAACCGAATCGAACTGACTTGGTCTATAACTGAACCAATTTAAGTCGGTTCGGTTTGGTTCGTCGGTTTGGTTCGGTCACTTACACCCCTAAGACACACGACTGAGGTAAAGGTGCTTTACTTTCATTCTTACTCAAACGATTTTAGTTGAAAATTTCTTCTGCATAATCGATAATCCAATAAGCTTTCACATTGAAACAATGGATCCCTTATTATATCTGAAGGAGTTTCAGTTGTTCCAAATTGCCCAACAAATAATACTTGTATAGGATAACATTTTTGAATCTAGAGAGGACATCAACACCGACCAGCGATCAACAAAGCAATCATTGAACTGATATGAGGGACAACATCCAGTAAGATTAAATTCCATATTTTATTAGCTCTTTTACAATCCATTAATGCATGATTAATTGTTTCTTCCTTCATCCGATACAAAGGACACATAGGGGAGACATCCATACCTCTATTTCTCAAATTAGAAGTGGGCACTGTTTTGAGCAGCTTTCCAAAGAAAAATCTTGATTTTTGGAGGAAGCTCGATTTTCCAAAACTCTTTCCACCATCGCTCTTTGCTTTCGTCGCTAGAAGAATGACTGTTCTCGCATTGTAATTTTGTAGCCCTATTCACTGTATACATACCATGATTGTTATAGTGCAAGGTCCATCTATCTGAACTTCCAAAACCACAAATTGGAATGCTAGAAATCATCTCCACATCATCTTCGTCACTCACCATGCCCCTTAGCTTAAGAACATTCCAACTCCTAGAGGGGGTGATAAACTCAGCCACCTTGATCTGCTCATTCAAATTTCCATAAAAAGTTAAAGGGACAAAAGGTAGATTCACGAGGTATCCACCTTGATCTTCTAATTTCTTTCTTTGTGCCCTAGGATAAAAGGTTATCCTTTCATTAGAGATTTGAGGGGGTTCAAGAGGGATCATACTCGGTGGAGTAGCTGGTGGCAGTATCATCTTCTTCTTTCCCTTCTCTTTGTCGCATGGCTTGGAGAAGGATGAGCCTTCCATCGAATCTTTGGCACTTTACTTGAAAAAAAACAAAAACTTCCTCAACCATAACCTAACTTAGCCGAAAATGAGAGGGGTGTGAGAGATTTTTGGGATCCATGAAGATTTGATGAGAGAAATTTGAAACCAAAATCTACACAAAAAAGCATAACAAAAGGTATAAAAATTTCGCAAAAATAAGACAATATTTTACATAAAAACTCCCTCAACAAGGTAATAAAGACTCGTGATTTCTCATGATTATGCATGCTTAGCAAATAGATAGTAGATTAAACAACAGCAAACAAGGTATGAAGTAAGATAAGGAGCATAGGGTCGACGGAATGCAAATTCTTATATGACCCTAACTTGTAAGACTATGTTATCCACAAAACATCTCAGCATGTTGTAACTGATGCAGATACTTCTACCTAGAAAAGATCAATACTAAGCACACATGAACAAAACTATATGTTGTCAACAACGAAACAATGGCTAGTTGCTCTTTGCCTCGATTCAGCTAATGAGTAAAAAAATAATAGCCACAAAGTGGCATTTTTTTTATGGGCATTCCATATTTAAGTCTTGTTTTGTTCCTTCTTATGGAAAAATGTTCGATGCTCTTTGCCTTATACCTTATTTATTTTCTTGGGAATTTTGATTTCTACTCTAGTAATTGATAATCTTTTGAGACCACATAGAAGGTCAGGATGAAAATTTTAGATTTGAGAGTGATTGAGGGTGAGAGATGGGGAGAGGGCGAGAATTCAATCTAAAATTAGTGTAACATAAGTAATATATTTATGAAGTTTTTTTAGATAAGTTGAAAATTTTTTGTTGGGAAAAAATAAATAAAAATATAAAAAATACGGAAGGTCGCCCACTCTCTCAACTTAAACTTGGGAGAATTTTGAGGAGCTGAGTTGATGTTTTAAGGAAATTTGAAAGGAACATGAATAAAAAGATATTAACAAATTTGAAATATAAGCCGAGGGAAATTTATGAGCTTATTAATTATGGATTTTTTTTAGTAGTGTGCATTTTCAATATTATAAAAAATTATGAAACTTAATAAGTAAATTATTTTAATATTTTAGATTTAATTTATAATTGAAAACTAAATTAAATAGATACTAATATTATATATTATAGGAAAAATATGAGGCCTTCCAAGGAACAGAGGCATGCAACAATCACAATATGAAACACTTCAAACAAATAATTTTGAAAATAAGTCCCTGACAATAATGCCAAAAACTTGTGAGGAATTTCTCTACCTTCAAAAGATAAAAAACACGTGCAAGTGTACATGGTCGCAAGTAATACTTGGGAGTAATCCAAGGTCGAATTCTCAGAGACTTTTGCTTTTCAAAATGGTTTTAAAGAAGTGAATGGTTCAAAGATGAAATTGTGGTTTACGAAGAAAATAGTGACAAAAGTTGTTGTTTGGGGTTTCAAGTATCAAGCAATGTAATAAAACACAATCTCTTTGCTTCCTACCTTAGTTTTGATGGAAAATATGAAAGATACACACTTTGAGGAAAATGCACTAGCCACTATTTGGCTAATCTTGGGAATATGAGTTTTACTCTTTCACGAACCCGTTTTTGGTTGCTGCAGAGGCTAGAGTAACCTACAATCGTATTTCAATGTGTGATTACAATTCTAGAAAGTATTTATCAACTCATTTGCATTTATGGGTCAGAGGACCTATGTCTAGGACCGTATTTTATGAGCATATGTCTAAGTCACATCCCATATTGGTTTCCTATTATTTTACCAAACCCACCATTCTTATAGTTGGACTTTAGTGCATAAATCAATTTCCTAGTGGCCAAATGGAAAAAAGGCGTAAAAATAATTTTTTAGAAACCAACTCAAGATTGCGTTAGGCACAATCTGGTCAAATCTTTAGTATGTTCGAAAATCAAATCATTTAATTCAGGCATATCATAGATAGGTCGATAAATAACTTAGTGTATAATTAAAGGAAAGAAAACGCACAAAAACATAAAAGACGTAATTTCCATTGAATTTAAATGAAAAATAACGACGTACAAGGAGTTTTAGCATAACCTTCTTCTCTTTCGAGCATAAGGGGAGTGTAAATTCGCTTAAGAACTTTAAAAGAACGGAATAGATGAAGAACAGAAGTACAAACTTGAATTAAAGACAATACGATAAGTAAAAGTATGAAAATATAAGAAAAGAACAACTAAAACACAACTCTAAAGTTTATGAATGAATTCTCTAACTAAGAACAAAAGAAAAGAAGATGAAAACGAGATGGAAATGTATGATTTGCTGTTGGGGGAGAGATTCCCTTTTATAGGTCCTTAAGTTGGTTAAACTTCTCACCATTTTAGGTGGAAAGGGGTTGAGATTCTTTAAACAAACCCTCATTGACTTGGACTCAGGGTTTTGGCTTCATTCAAACATGTTGGAAATGACCCCCTTGCCCCTCATGAAGTGAAACGTACGTTTTGGAGGTTGACTATGCCAAAATTGCGCCAGGTGCTATTTCTGCAAAACATAAAACTGTGATTTTCTTCCAATTTGACCATGTTTTTCTCACATTTTTCCTAAAGTACCATATATTGCAAATTATCTAGAAATGTTCTATGCATGTTCTACTTTAAGAATACGTAAGCTTTCTTAGCTAATAATGATGGGAAATTGTTCATTTTTATGGTCAAGCAAGCCTACCGACACACATTTCTGCAGTAAAAAGTCAACCATAACACATCACACAAAAGGTCACGACACCAAACCATACCTTGCTAATAATAAGAGGAGTGGGACTCAACCTTGGCTGACAACATGAGCTCCTTCGTAGCATAAATGCCATTAATGACTTTGGATACAGGGAGATTGAGATATTTAATAATCACTAGTAGAAACTCGATTTATCGTGACGTTTTTCTAACGTCACAAAAATCTTTCGTGACATTTTTAACGCCGTCACGTATACGCCCATCATGAAAGGTATACGAGACGTTTAAAAAACATCACAAAAATTAGCACACGTGACGGTTAATTACTGTCATGAAATACAAGGACTTCCACGACGTTTATAACACGTCATAAAAATGATTTCGTGACGGTGATACAACGTCACGGAAAGACCTTGAGTAGGGAGGAAAGGTCACGTGACATCCTTTCGTGACGTTTTTTTAAAGTCACGAAAAAGATTTTTCATGACGGTCAATAATCGTCCTTAAAAAAACTTTTGTGACGTTTTAAAAACATCACTAATGATTTCATTTTGTGACGATAAAAAAAGAGTCACAGAAAATGTATTTAATTTTGATTGCAGATGTTGCATAATAGAAATATCATATAGTCAAATTGTCGATCGAACACGTAAATATATTAATTTAGATGACAAAGTTGAAATATATTAAACATGAACAAGGAAGTTAATATATTAATTTAGAATATTCTAGCTAGTTCCCTACACACCAACCCGAACAACGAAGCTCCTCCATCAATTAGTTGAATTCCTAATTGTCGACGTCTTTGGGGTCGTGAATGACCTAATGAAAAAACAATACCGAAGTTAGATAAATGAATAACGAAAGATAGATAAGGTAAGAAAGTCACTTTCTAAAAAACGTGTCTATCTATTAAAAATTGCAAAGGATCGTGATATTTGCAAATAACATTTTTAAATAAACACACTAGGAGCCTATCACAACGTCAAAGAATTGATTAAACAAAAACCAACCTACGTACACTTGTTCTACATCCTTTAGTAATATCGTATAATATTTAAAAATTTAAAAAAGTATCACAATGATTGAAAACGTACATTAATCTTTTACAACACTACAAATAATCAACATTCATAGTCTTCCTTATCAACTTATTCGATAATCTGATAAAACAACCAACATAACGACCAAACAAAGATCCCAACAGAAGAAGTGCGATTAAAATAAACGACATGCCTATACTTTTTCTACATCCTTAAATTATATAGCACAAAATATTAGTACAATCATAAGATTTGTAAATGTATAATCATCCCGTACCGAAAGTATCAATATTAAGTATTCATAAAATTCTTGTGAACTTACATTAATATGATATGATAACCAACAAAATGACCAAACAAAGTTCCAAACATAACAGAAGAGGTTACAATAACAAAAGAACCGAACACTTGTTTTATATCCTTTAGCAGCATAACACAAAATGTACTTAAACAATATAGCACAAACTAACTAGTATAGCAGAGAGATTGTAAGCGTACATTCCTCGTCTATAATCAATATTCAGTATTCCTTATGAACTTACTCAATAATATGATAAGGGTGCTAAATTAGCTATAGTCACAGCATATAACAAGTTCGATTTAGAAGGATTTAATATTCAAATGCTATAGTATGAATGATGACGAAAAACAAGTTAGCTTACCTTTGTTATAATGGAACTTTGATGGAAACGGCCACAACATGCTTCAACTCACTTCGACGCGGTTCGATAAAATAAAAAACCCTTACAACTTCTCATTCCAATGTGAAGCCTAATCCTATCATATAAACCAATAATAAGCAACTTAGGAAAATGGACTCTCTTAAAAAATTTGACATAAACAATAACATTTAAACAAAATTTTAAATAATGCAGTACCATATAGCGTTGAGGTACGAACCCAACCAAGAATTTCTTGTATGACAAAATAGATATACTTCAAAGTAATGTATCTGACGAAGTAGTCCTACCAGAAAATTTGAATATTCAGATTAGTCAAATGGTTATAAGTACTACACCTTCAAATGAATAAACAGGGATATAGTTAACAACTCACACCAAAAATTTTCTCTTTGTCAAGTGTGAGATAAAATGACCATGAAAGTATAAGGTAACCAGCAGTCCAAAAAACATGTCTAACAAAAGTGTTGCTATCAATGCATCAACCATAAACTCGAACAATGTGCAAGCAAAAAAGATATTATATGCAACATGAGTTCATTATAACATCATTTAATTTCAAGCAGACATACTCATCAATCAAAGATTTATTTTCAATATTTAAGTCACTTAAATCATTTTTCAATTCTAAAGACGATGAATTAATTTTCTTATTTTCACACTTAAAACTATCAAGCTCATTAGATAAATCATTATTCTCATGAACTAGTTTAATGTTATTCTTTTTAAGAGTCAATATTTAGAGCCTAACTTTTCAAATTCATATTTAATTATATTATAGACATCCACTAAGAAGATTTTCATTACTTACCTCTTCGTCATCACTTTCGTCATCTGTATGAACCATAAAGGACTAATGAGATACGACAATATTTTCTTTCATCGAACCACATGAATTTTATTGATTTCTAGTCTTAGAAATTTCCTTCATATCAAGAAAATTATTAGAAGTACAATATGGATATTCACTCAAATCATTGACTCTAATGTTTTAATAAGACTTTAAGTTTCAATAAAAGTAATTTTTAGAAATGGAAGATTTAAAGTAAAAATTTTCAAAGAAGCAAAGATTCAATGAAATAATTTTTGAAACAAAACAAAATTTCAAAAATTGCATTTTAATGATTGACTCAAGATAGGACTTCTAAAAACAAATATTTTTCCAATAAAATAACGAAAACAAATTTGCAAATTTTTTAAAAATAATTTTTAAAATAAAAAAAAGGAGAAAAAGTAATTTTCAAACCAATTTTCAAGGGAACTATTTTTCAATGAAACCGATTAAAAATTTAAATTTCCAAACTTTTCTTCTAAAATAAAAAAATTTGAGATTAAAAGAAAAGGAATTTTGAAGAATAAAAAAATCCAAAAAACCGAAATCGTTACGAACTCTTCCGGTAGTTATCCTCATATCTTAAACCCACGAGTCCGAAACCAAAACCGCAGCCAGATTTCCAAACCTGAGCAGCCGAAGCCTATACAAAAAAGATGAACAGCAGCCTCCGGCTGTTCCCATTCCCAACTTGTTCGTGCTCAATCTCACAACCCACACACCCAAAAACCCCTTCAGTGTTCTTCATCAGCAATCCAACCCACCTTCTGTATCTGAAGCGACCCAATAGGCAGCAGCAATTGGCATTGTGTTCCAGTTATGAAGTCGGCGGAGGCTATCCAGAGGAGGAGTTGGAGCTGCGAGATAGAAGACGACCCACAAAAGAAGCGAATCCCAGAATGGACACTTCCGAGTACGAAGCTCTCCTCAAAGGAGGCGACCAAGTTACCTCTGTTCTCGAACAGATCATTGTCCTTGTAAGTTCTTTCTTCTTCCTTTCTTCAGATAATCGACTTATTTTAGAAATTTAGCTTATATGGTAGTGTCGAGCCGAAACCCATGTGGCTGATGGATGAGTAAGAGAGCAAAATCATTGCTTAGCCAGTATGCAAGTGGCAACAGGGATAAATTGTAACATTGGGGTCAAATGTGTCCTGTTTTGAACTAAGATGAACAAGGACTCCATAGGACGTTAAGTTTAGACCTTGCCATAACTAGAGCCACTGGAACATTTGAGTCAAATGTTTCCTGTTTTGAACGAAGATGAACAGAGACTCCTTAGAACATTAAGTTCAAACCTTGTCATGGGGATTAAAACAATAAGAAGGTAAAATAGATAAAAGGGAAAATTTCTCTGCTGGCATGAAAAACCTCTTGGTCAAAAAGAAAAATCAGAAGAGAGATTTTTTGTTTAGATATTTCGGATGCCCTTCTCCTGTCTTGGTCTTGGATTTGAGAAGCATATCATAGACAAAAATAGGATTTTGTGTGATAAGTTTTTGATATTCAGCGTACAAGTGATGTAGCAGATAAATGTATTATTTGGTTATTTCTTCTTAACATCCTGCTCAAGCTGGACGGGGGAGTAAGAATGGTCAGCTTGCTTTGAAATTTAGAAAATGATGGGTGATGTCCTCTTATGAAGTGTACATCAATTTAAATATGCTTGAATTTTGAGTGGAACACTGGATTTGAGCTAAGGGAGGCAGCTCCCAAGTTTTCACATCATTCTATGGGGGTTTTCTGGAGAAAATGTGCAGCTCTCGAAATAGAATTATAGACAAACGACTTCTACAACAGTTGGGGCTTGGTATTCAGCCCCGGTATGAGCTTATATTCCCATACTACTGACTTTCTATCAGATTTATTGCTGGCCCGATCTGAATCAACCTAAAACATTAGCTCTAGAATAGAGGAAAAGGTATGAAACACAGTGTCGTGTAAGAGAGTGCCCTTGATATACCTGATGTACCAAAGTATTCTTTACATATTTTCCAATGTAACTCAATGGTAGAGAACATCAGTCATCAGTTTATTAACTGAATAAGAGAGCTCTAGTAGTAATGGTTAAGTATTGAAGGCCTCTCAAGATGCTGCAATATAGTGTGTGATTAGAAAATAAATTTGCATTCGGTTCATCAAGAGATATGCCATGTGCCATTGGTGTTGGGCATGACTTGCTTTCTTTAATTTTCTTGTAACTCTCACCTACATTGCCTTGTAGCAGACACATGGCATGCACATTTAAAGATGCGCACGCCATGGTCGCCATTTTTATGGCAACAAGGTAATGCCATTTGAGCATGAATCCAGTAAAAAAAATGTAATAATCTAAAATTTACTTTCAGAAGCCAATGTACATTCTTGCAGTCCAATTATTTAAATCTTGGAGCTACTAGCGACTAATATTTTTTACACCCTATCTGGGTTTCTTTCTGCTGTCTCAGTTGGAAGATATGAACACTGATGAAACATCCGAAGAGATTGCATTGCAGTTGGCTGCACAAGGGGTCATAGGTAAAAGGGTTGATGAGATGGAGTCAGGATTTATGATGGCCTTAGACTACATGATCCAAACTGCTGAAAGGGACCAAGATGATAAGGTCCAACTCCATCTTAAATTCTTTACATTTTTCAGATTTGATATGCATCTTTATTTATTTATTATTATTTATAATATATTTTTTGATAGCTAAGAACTCGAAACTTTTAATGAAAACGGAAAAAAATGGAGTTGTAATAGGTAGTGAGTGAAGTGGGAAGTAACTAATTGCACTTCAATTGCGAAGCTTGCAATCACTGGATGAGTTGTGCTTATATAGGTTGGAACAAAATTACCCTGAAATAGGAAAATATGAGGTTTGTCTGAGAGGTGGTAAGGGAGAGAAAGAGGGAGAGGAGAAAAAAAGAAATGAGAAAGAAGAGAGAGAGATTGATTTTTCTTATTTGGTGACTCTGTATGGAAGTTTATTGGTTTGTTTGTATTGGTTTCGAAGATTTTAATTTGAAAAGAAGTCAAACGGCCTTGGATTTTAGACTGTCAGACATTCGTTTATGTTAATCGGTATTGTTTGTCAGGTTTATTGGCTGGTTTAGCTCTAGCTGAAGGAGTTTTGGTTTGTTTAGTTCTTTATATTGCAGGGTTCAGGTCGTGGTTTGTTGTCCTCTACCTAGTTTGTTGTTTCTTCTCATGTTTGTTGTTGATACTTCATTGTAAATTTTCGTTTCATCCTGGAAAAATTATATTTCTACTATTACCTTTAAAATTTATTGAGATACTGAGTTATACTGTATCATTTATACTCAGCGCAAGGCAATACTGGAGGTGGTCAAGGAGACAGTTCTATCTCATCTCACTAAAAAATGCCCGCCACATGTGAGAAAATTCTTTTGGAGAAAAACATTGTCTATTCATATTTCATTAAAATGTTGTGTTGACCAACGTTACAAGCTAAATAACGAACTGCCTGTTCTCTTATTTACAGGTTCAGGTGGTTGGCCTACTCTGTAGGACTCCATTGAAAGAAAGCAGACATGAACTACTTCGTAGAGTGGCTGCTGGAGGTGGTGCTTTTAAAAGCAAGGATGGTACCAAGGTTCATATCCCAGGAGCAAACCTTAACGACATCGCCAACCAAGCTGATGATTTGGTAGAGGTAATCTCTTGAAAGCAATCCTGTGAATGTAGAAAATTCTGAGAAGTATTTTCTTCCCTTTCTCTTCAAGGTTTCTTAGGCCTGTTTGATAACGATTTCGTTTAGTTTTATGTATTTAAAAATTATAGTTGTTTCCTCGCAATTTCTTTGGTATTTTTCAAATTTCTTAAAAACACATTTGAATTCATTGTTAAATTTAAAAAACATCAACAAATTTTTGAAAACTACTTTTCTTATTTTCTTTTATTTTATTTTAAATTTGGCTTAGATTTTGAAAATATTTTTAAAAAGTACATGACAAAACAATGAAACACTGGAAATAATGTTTATCAAGGTTGTTAAACACTTTTATTTCTTTTCATATATCTTAATGAAAAGTTTGTTTCTCGTTAAAAAAAAGGTGGTTTAAAATGTACGATACTTGAGTCATATCGTATAAGTTAGAACGACTTGTAAGTCGATAGATTCAGATCGTGCTTTTGAATCATACATTACATGTATCGTGCATTTCAATGTTGAATCATAAGAAACCGGAAAGAATCGGATTGTTCCGATTCAAGAACAAAAAGAAAATTAGGGCTTTTACTCACTTGAATCTGGCACAATTGATCCGCGACATTTGGTTCACGAAGAAAAAAGTTAAGAAGAAACACGAAGAAGATAAGAACGTCCGTAATGTAGAAGAAGAAGAGGAGAAGGAGAAGAAGAATAGAAGTTGGCAGTAACAGCAGATTGTCTATGAGAGAAAAATTAGGGTTGGGTGATTAAAAGTTAGGCTTTAATTTTGATGGGGCGGGAATAAGAAGGGCCATAACATTGGGAAAACCAACAGGCTAGAAAGTGAAAATCTCTTTTAGATTTTACTATTTCTATTAAATTAAATATTTAATTTTACACATAAGTAACGTTAGTTATTTATTTTTATTCAGGGCCTAGACATATTTCTACAAATAAAAGTGAGGGAAAGAAATAATTGAATTAGTAGAAGAAGAAGGCAACAAAGAAGAAGCACTGGACAGCAATGACCTTTTGGATGATAATGATTTGAAGAATATTGAATTGTAGTTGAATAAAATAAGCTATTTTCTTATTTTTTTAATGTGTTTTGATACTTATTTTGGAGTTTTAATTTGTTTTTCAAATTTTAGAGTTAGTTAATTTTGTTCTTAACATTCAATAGTTATTATGATACATGATACACGATACACTAAATTTTAATTACAATACACCTTTCGATTTACGAGTTAACAACCTTGGTGTTTATAAGTGACAAAGAAGCACCAAGGTGGAAGTCGTGTTTACATTCTTTACTTTAAATCATCCTTGTATACTGTTAAGGATGAATAAACCACCACTCAACCCAAAAACTTAATCTGATGGGTTGGGTAAATTTATTTCATTTATGGATATCTAACATATACATATTGAAATAGAATACATCGAAAGACCTCCTGCTCTGATACCATGTTAATGATGAATAAACCACCACTCAACTCAAAAGCTTAAGCTGATGGGTTGGGTAAATTTAATTCATTTATGGATATCTAACATATAGATATTGAAATAGAATACATCGATTCTCTCATAGCTTTTGTGATTACAACACCATTATCTATTAGAGCATTAAGATTTCTTACTAACTGTTAGAATTTCTTTTCTAAGTGAGGCTAGGCTAGAGTGTAGTTTGGGTTACACTTTAAAGTGACAATTAGTTGATAACACACATAGCAGTAGAAGCACCATCCAACTATTGGTAGCTCTATATGTGTGGACTACCAAAAATGTCACTTCTAATATAGTATTTCATGAATGAACCAAACATATTGAAGCCAATGATCATTTTTCTCGTGAAAAGATACAATAAACAAGGTTTAGTGTCTGTAAGATTTCTAAGGAGTAGAGAGAAATGGGATATTTTCACAATAGCATTCAATGGAGCACGAAAAACTAGCTTTGTAATTAGTCGGACATGACTAACATATATGTTCCAATGTAAAGGGAGGGGTGTGTAACATGTACATTAGTATACAGTGATGTGAATAACTTAGTTATGCTTGTCCATTAATTCTTTGTCCTCTATTGTAATTTTAGGTTCTTTAATTTATGGTACCATGTACATCTATATATATATGAGATATATATAAGTCTTAGTGTATCGAAATAGATAGTGTCCTTTCTCTCCAACCTTTTTTACTTTTTATTGGTCACATCCTCATTTATTTTTTCTGTTTTGGTCTCTCAACGTTTTTTATTTTGAATGTCACTGTTACTGACTAGAAGCTGTAATATGGACCGTAAGTACTGAATAATGGTTTTCCTCATGAGACCTTCTTTGTTCTCTATTATTTGCAAGACAATGGAAACTCGGCCAGTTGTACCTGATCGAAAATTACTTGCAAGGCTTGTTCTAATTAGAGAAGAGGCCCGGAATATGATGGGAGGTGGAATTCTGGATGAACGAAATGATCGTGGTCTAAGTACTCTTCCTGAATCAGAGGTATGCGTGCATTTATAAAACTTCAAATCACATCACTTGATTCCTAAATGGTTCCATACATTCCAATTCGAACAATTTAGTTTAATTCTATTCCTAAGAAATTTTACAACAATATGACGAGTTTAATACAAAAAATCCTTGATGTCTCCCGGGTATGGGCCTTGGGACGGGCGCAGGGTATAGGAGAGTAAAGCTCTGACTCCCACTTATAAAAAAAAAATTTAACAATAATATGGAATACCGTTTTTGTGTTGGTTTTTGTCATTACTATTCCTATTATTATAGGTGAGATACTCCACACGGTCTAATAAATGATAAATCTTGCAAGATTCTTGCCAGCTGTATATAACTGCTATATTGAGTTGCAAAAGTCTTAAGCTCAAAAACAAAATATAGGGCAATGGCCTTGGGAATAAGTGCATCGTTACGATAAGAGTAATTGTGCAAGACCTCAAAGTTCATTGAGAAATGCTCTGTGAAATTGATGTAGTTAGTAGGTTGCGTTGGTTGGTTAGTTAAGTTGTTAGTCCTTTAGTTGCTGTAATTTTAGTTACTGTGTAGTTATTGGCCCAGCAGCCTCTATAAATAGCTGCTGGATTTCAGTGTTTAGATTAATCAATTCTCTTCAAGTTTTCTACCTTACAATCAGAAATTCTAGTCAAATAGAATATTGGATTATAATATTGCATATAACCCACTCAAACTTGATCGTATCAAACACATGGAAATGCATGGACTCTTCATAGAGAAATGGAAATTCGCTTAAACTGTAGTACTTTCATGGCAACCAGGAGTCAGTTAGGTGCCCTAACTAATGGACTACGTACCACTACTTTACAAAACATTATCAGAAAGTCAGGAGTAGATATCTTTATTACTTGAAAATATCTTTCTGTGAGTGGGGAAGATAGCCCTAGTTTTCTCTCTCCCTCATCCAGCCAACCACCAACCAAACCCCCCACCATTCATCGGCGCCTGACCTTGCCCTCGCCTGAATCTTCCCCATGGCCACCCACCCGCCCAAAAAAGTCATCACCATTGAAAGGAAGCGCTTTGCGCTTTCTATCGATCACAGACATCGGGGTAGTAGAGTTAAAATCTCAGAAACTACAAAAGTAGAGCTTTCTTCATCTCTCTACACTGGTCTTCTCTTGATTGCCTGAAGAACGTGTTCTCCTCCATCCTCACCGTCCCTTTAAACCAAAAATTCTTCAAGGAAACCCGCACTGATGACCAAACCATCTGGGTTGAGAAAACTTTCAACCGAAAAGGAACCCTGGCTGATATTACCAAACTTGATAACAATGGAGGATTAAATAAGCTACTGGTCCCTATTGGAGATGAAAGGAAAGGATGGAAGGCCTTTTATAATCTCCTAAATGGTATTTCAACTCAACATCAACCATCTACATCTCATAATCATAGCACAACTACCTTCCCTGATCATCAACCCACCACAGTAGTTATTTCCCCCACAACAGTTATTGACCATCCCACCTACCAAGAAGTCCTTGCTAAAGGAAAACAACTGATAGTTGCCCCTCCATAACACAAAAGACTCCAATTGACCCGACTTTTGTTCAAGTAGAAGCTGACCCTGAGCTGAACTCCTCCATTATAGTCATCAGAAAACATTTTCATGATGATTGGCTCAAAATCACCAGAGCCCTTCGAGACCACGTTAGCTATTTCTGCACCCTCAACCTCATTGCGGCCGACAAAGCTCTTCTTCGCTGTGAAAATAAAGAACAAGGGCTAATCCTCTGTAATATGAAAGACTGGTACAAGGTCGGAAGTTTCCACTTGAAATTTAAGAACCTTAACCAACATTACTGCAATGCTTGCCCTATGATGCCTTTCTATGGGGGCTGGTTAAAAATCCGGAATCTTCCCCTGGACAAATGGGACAATGCGACCCTAGGAATCATTGGAGATGCTTGTGGAGGATACGTTGAAACAGTCAAGAAAACTCTCTCTCGCCTTGATCGGATGGAAGCTTCAATCAAAGTCAAACCAACTCCTTTTAGGTTTGTCCCAGTAGAAATTGGAATTTCCCTGTCACCCACTAGAAACATAAAGGTCCAAATCGACCCCTTTTTCAAATCTGAGATCTTTTTGTGGTACTCCGTCGGAATCCATGGAATTATCCCCATCGGAAAACTCACCGGCCAGACTCCGATGTCCTCTGATGAAGGGATTTTGGGTGCTGGCCCAAATGTTACACTCATTGGGATAAACACTCCCCCGATACAGAAAGCCCTCCATCAGTTTTCTCTTTTCATCTCTCTACTGAAATGGATGGGTCCCACCCCCCGCCACACTCTGCTATACCTTGTGACCCATCTTTTTTCTAAAAAAAAATCCTTTGCTGAACCTTGTGACCCATCAACGTCTAAACACTACCCTTTCCCATCAAGTTCCATGCTACCTAATCTGTCCACTGACCTTATACCCTTTTGTCCATCACCCTATGAAACCACCTCCCCCTTGCCTAAAAGCCTTCTGACATCTACCCACCCCTCGGGTACAACACATCCCTACGCTTTGGATGATGTAGCCGTGTGGCCTTGGGTAACTTGTTTAGTCTTTTAAGTGTAGCTTATATTTGTAGTTCTTTTAAAAGACCCTTTTACTGTATAGTAACTTCAAGTTACTATTGTTTGTTAGCTATTGCTAGTTACTTTAGTTGCTGTTAGTTGTAACCCCTATATATATGGGGTTCTGTTTCAATTAAAAAAGACAGATTGAGATTTTCTCTTACTTCTTGAGTGAGTCTCCATCAAATTGGTATCAGAGCAGAAAATTTCTGGGCAATCTGATGGCCGGAAAGAAACCTACAGCGGGAGAATTTTCTTCCATAACCAGCAAAGAAACGGAACATTCGTCCGTTCTCTCACCACGAACGATGACCACACGCTTGCAGTTGGTCGAAACTGAAGTTAAAGATTTACGGAGCGATGTAGGTGAGATTAAACAGATTTTGGGATTGATTCATCAGCAGCTGGAAACATTGAATGTAAACCAAGAAACAGTAAGGAATAATCAATTCCCGCATCCAAGAACC